GAAACATTTTTAAAGATTACAGTTTTTAGCTCTTCTTTATTAGTGTACATTAAAAATAGAAGATATTTGTATGAGGAAGAATTCTGTAGAAGCTTAACAGCTTTACCCAAGAAAAAAAAACTTAAGATGATTAAGATCATAAAGAGTATCTCCATATAAAATATGCATTTTGCCTTTTCATTTTATTTGACAGTAACAAGGATGAAATTATTTAAATTCTCTGAATTGATTATACTGGTAGTTTTTACTAGTTATTGAACAGGAACAAGCTGTTTACTGTGCAAAACTGTCATATGATGAAAATTTAGGAACACTTAAGATATACATACCTTAAAAAGTGTATAATTTTTCTGCTCAGTGTTCTGTACAAAATGCTTCAGAACTGAAGAGGAATTATACAAAGGATACAGTGAGATAAATTATCCTATACTGGGGAAGTCTCAAGTAGAACTTCATGCACTCTTGACAAATATGTAAGGTTTAATATACTCATAGGTACAATATATATTATTTTAAACTTTCACACTATCAAGGAAAATTTTCCTTGAGATCTAATGCTGCATTTAAATATACCTCAGACATATCTAGAATTTATTACCAGCTTCCCCAGTCAAAATTAAAATATAAAGTTTACTAAGTGTACATTGTTTGTGTATTATCAATAAGTCGTTGTCATTATTATAAGAATAATATTCTAGTACTGTTTGTTGAAGTTGGAGATTATTTGTATGATAGAGAACTGAGCCCTTTGGTTGTCTTTGGAGAGATACGTTTTTGTTATTTCTAAAACAAAAATAATAGTTCTTGGCAAACCCTTTGAGTTCTCAATTCAGGCAGGGAAGAAGGAAGGGATGAGTGATTTGTAATCTCCCTGATAAGTGAAACAAGTAATAAATGAAAGCTTTTCAGGTTGATCTAGCAAAGAAAAGATCTTTAGCACCTGAATCTATACAGGCTAGTGTCTATATAATGAATGAAGCAACCATCTTACCTTTGGCATGTATAGTCAAGTTATGCAAAGTACTGGAGACTACTTCATGGTTGAGGGATTTTTCAGAAGACCGCACAGAAATGGATGAATTGGTGGAAAGTTCTGGTTTCAAACTTGAGATGCTTGAGTATCTCAAGTCATAGAGGCACTGGGCAATGTTCTTCTCTAAAGGCATGTGCTATCTAAAAATTCACATTTTAATAACTTTTTTGAACAATATAGGTATCTCTCAAAAGCTGAGAATGTAGCAGAAACTTGCTAGAATTCCTTTCTTACCTCCATGTATTTGTTGCTGAAAACATTCTCTCTCATTCTTAGTGGATAAAAGATAGGTGATGGCAAGTGGTAGAAAACTCTGGAAATCTCTGAATTTGGATTGGCTCTTTCTTATTTTACTTATTTGCTTTCCCTGCTCCTATCAGCAGTTGACAGAAATTGAGTACTGGCTACCTGAAAAGAGCACCTTTTTAAATGTTCTCCTGGAAGAAGGAACAGTAATAGTTCTGGGTGGCAGGGAATAAGGAGCTCAGACCTATCATACATTTTTTGCAAAACTATGTGGATATTGGAGACATGAAACTTGTATAATAAAATACAGAACCAGAAGAGGCTCCCCCGGTTTTTGTTCCTTACAAGATCCAGGATGTGAACTATGAGGTTTTAAAACCTTTTAGTGAACCCTCGGAGTTTTTTTAACTCTTCTTGGCTGATTTATGGCTTTGTGACTTCAATCTGTAATAGGCATATCCTTAGTGGATTTTTTTTTCCTTTTTTGCTGTAGTTGTACATGGTGCTTGTGGATGTTCCAAATGTAGCTTATTAGTCTGAATTGTAGTTGAATCTTTAACAAAAGATAGATTTTTGTCCTGGCTGTTTGTTCACACATTTCAGAGAACCAGATGTTAAGAAAAGACCCTGAAGTGTTAAAACTCCATGAATTAACACTATTCCATTTGCAGTCAGGTTTTGCTGCATTCTATGGCAAATGTCATAGTTTTTCAGTTATATAGAGTGGCTTTCAGAGAAACAAGGTGAACAAGATTTGAATTTCTAATGGAAAAAACAAGCACAGATTCATAATCAATCTGCGTTTGAAAGAGACCGTGACAGGGCAATTCTCGAGGTCGGATCTCTTGCCAGCCCGCCCACTTTTCCCTATGGAGCAGTCCACCCAGTCTCACTGCCACGACTTTGTTGTTCCCGTAAACTGATGGAATAACACAGGAAGCTGCCCATTACCCACCCCGATGCCAGGGGACACTGTCTGCAGCTCCAAACCTTCCCTACACTACATCCCATGCCTCGCAGATGGCATCCACATGATGTAATCATATCCTACACCACGACTTGTGCTCCAGGGTCTCACAGGGACTCTCCCTCCCTCCCTGGAGCAGCAGGTCATTGTGCTTGCCCTTCAGGTCTTTCTTTCATCCCACTCTCAGCCTCCTTGCAGTGGAGGACTTACTGGGGCCAGAACTCACCATTAACTCTCGGCATGAGCCCCCTACTTTGCCTCTGGCCCAAACTACAGCCTCAAGCATCCACAACCATGCCTTGGCCTCTTCTCCATGGGGTTCCTACTACAGACCCGCTAGGGCCTCTATACCATGCCCCACCCTAGGGCCTTCTCATCTTCATGATCAACTACTCAATGCACCCCTGGGGCTGCCCTTCAGGCCTGCTCCCTATTCAGCCCTACTCAGCCCCTCTCACACACAGCCCGTCAGGCCCACTCCCATTCAGCACTACTCTGTGTGGGACCACACAACTACGCTCCCCATGCTACCCCCTCTGGTGTCTCCAGGATCTTTCAGCCCTGTTGGGCTTGGGTGGCACTTTGTTTACCATGCCTGGCCCCACTACTCCCACAGCCTCCTCCAAAGTCCACCTGAACATCGGGGCTGGCGCTAAGGCACCCCTCCCCGCCTTTCACCAGGGATGTAACTGGCCTGGCATTTTCTGGTGGCTCCCACACCACTAGGAGCCCCACCAGGCCACCCATTCCTGGCAGGGTGCACTTTTAGGTCATGCCCAGGACCAAGAGCTTCCTGCTCTTACCTTCAAGATGTTCCTGTTGCAGCTCAGCCAGGTAATGTTTCTATCTGGGCTGGCAGCAGCAAACTGCAGCCTTTATATGCCTAGAGCTCAAAATGACTGCCCTCATCAGGTACCTGGTAGCTGCCTGACTCTGCCCTTAAAGTGGCAGCCACATCAAGGTGCCCCACCACAGAGATCATACATCCTAGTTTTACTAGGAGTGTCCTGATTTTTCCATATATCTGGTTATGTCTTCATTGCAAAATGTCATTGAAGTATAATTAGAGTGTTGCCCTTAATTTGAGTCCCATACATATGTGAAACTCCTTAAATCAATTGGAGTGATGACTTAAGTTGTCTGGCATCTCAGGGGTTGTGGCTTAAAGCAAAAACTAGCATTACTTGTCAGCTGCTAACAGGCATGGTTCATAGTGTCAACATAGACTAGCAGCTCTTCTTGAATATCACTGGTCCTTCATTGCATTCCCTCTATCTATCTGTGTACCTAGAAAGTTCTCCTATAAATCATTTGAAAGAAATTTTTAGAGCAACTCAGTGTGCCACAGTGTGATGTACATTGGGACTTGCTACTAGGAGTGTCAGTGTCGCACATAAGCAAGAGTGGTGCTAGCAAGGACACAGTAGCTCAAGCGTCATTTCACAATGTGGCCACTGTCACTCACAAAGTAGGCTAACCCATGAGAAATAATTTAAAATAGAGGTAATTTGATTGAACTTTCAGTGAAGAAAACCTTCTCAGTTGGACTTAGAACTTGTATCTAGGTGTATAAAATTTCTTTATTTGTCTTTTCATCCATCAGAAGTTTTTGAAGTACAAAAATATTTGTTCAAATTGTATTGAACAAAGTCCTGTTTCATTCCCCTGAAGTATATGCATGTCACTCCATAGCGTCCTCAGGTAACGATACTGCAATACGAGTCATCTGACCCAGCCCAGTCTGCTGCCATCACCAACGTGAGGATGCCAGTTGTTTACTGGAGCTCTTATAACACTGGTAGCAACCATGGGGATGCTAGCTGTTGCCAGTGCTCCCATGGTGGCAGCAGGGTCCCAGTAGAGCAGTGGTTTTCGACCTTTTATCGTTTGTGGACCCCAAAACATTTTTGAATTCAGGTGCAGACCCCTTTGAATTATAAGTGTGGGTATTCACATGCTTTTGATGGATCCTGGTCATCCTTTCTGGACCCCTTGGGTATAGTCTGCAGACCCTCAGGTTGAAGGGGGTCTGCAGTAGGGCTCTAAAACAGGTCCCTGTTGCTGGTTGAGCTATATAGAACATCTACACTCTCACATATGTGGCACTACCTATGTAGTGTGTGTCCATACCATAAGAATATCTTAAACACAGGTCAAGACAAATATGAGCTTTTATTTATTTCCTGAACAAAAATAGTCAGCAGCATGAAAGGAAATTGGTGCATACCAATCTCCAAAAGCTTTCAGTAAAGACGATGCATATAGATTTAGGTGCAAGAGATCCTGACTCTAATAGTGGGGTCTCTGCCAGCAGAAATTTGCCTTACTGTCAGATGTGAAATTCTTCTCTTCAGATGCTAAAGGAGCACCACAGAAGTTAACAAATCAGACTGCAAGTTATGAAGAAAACCAAGTTAGCATGCAACAGAACAATATTTAATCCCTAATTAAGCAGAAATATTTTTTAAAAGATGATCATTTGGGCCCCAATTCATAAATGTACTTAAGCTTGTGCCTAAACATAAGCATGTTAGAATTCAATGGGACTGCATGTCCTTTAAGATAAGCATGTGCATAAGTATGTTGCTATATCAGGACCTTAGTGTCAATGAAAAACATAGCATAACAAACTAAATTCTATTCATTCCATTACAGGTTGGTAAAAGGTTTATCATTTTCTAGATGTTACTATTGGAAGTGACTTTAATAACCACACGTGTCATCATAATTGTTTTCTTTTTCTCTTGGTTTCAGCTGTGGGACCTATTGCAAAAATTGCAGTTCATCATGACATATATTGCTCCCTGGCAGATTGCTTGGGGGTCTTCGTTTCACGTGTTTGCTCAGCTCTTCGCAATACCTCATATCCTTTTATAGGTTTATTTTTCTTTACTCTCAAGTGCCCTGTTGATATGTGTGCAAGGTTTGAACAAAGAGCATGACATTTTTAGGCATTTTTTTTTTAAAAAATGTGACAGTACTTGATGTTGAGTCTGAAAAATATTCTTACTTCTAATGTGGTCTCTTTAGACATGGGAGAAACAGTTTTGTTTTACTTGGAGGCAGGTGCAACTGGGAAATCTTAGTGCAATCAGACCAAGATGTTTAATATTATGCGCATTTGTTCCCTTCTTCTCCCATTCCTATGTATGTAAAGTAGGTGACTTTACATACAACCTCACTATACAGAACTTTGAGTATCTGGTATAGAAAATACATTTTCAGTATACTATCTCCATCTGGGATGGACTTTCCTCTTTTGTAATGCATTTAAATCCTTATCCTGTAGAGTACTGGGCATGCTGCAGACTGGCCCTAAAATGCTAAGTCTTTAATAGTTTTCCCTGGCAAGTCTGAGACATAGTGAGTGACTCATTAGTTTACAGCATGTCTATCCAACTAGCAGCCCACAGGCCACATGAAGCCTGCGAGGGGTTAATGTGTGACACCCCCCCCCCCCCGGCTTCTCCCCAGCCTTTGTACCAGCTGCTGCTGCTCTGGGGTTTTAGA